TTCAGCCCCAAAAAAGATTGTTTCTCCACACGAGCTTGACAAAATGGTGAATGAGTGCATGCGGGAGGACTACGACGTTGAGCTCTCAGACGAGGATGATCCAGACCTGCTGGTAGGGAGTTGATTCTTTTCTGTCAGTTTTATTGGTCAGTTGTTTTGGATGTGTATATCTTTAGTGATTATGTTAAAGGTTTTTGTTTATTTATCTTGTGCTGTTGTTGTTGCTGTGGAAAGATATATGAATAAGATTGTATTATTTCCTGTTGCTTTGGCATTTTCTGCTTCTGTATATGGTTTATGAATATTAATGTTATGTTTATGTGGACTGATCTCAGATCTTCATTTGTTCACCCATTTCTGCTTGGGTTTATCTCTTCTTCTTTTTCTTTTCTTTTCTCATTTCTTTACTTATACAAATGTGTAATAAATGAGATCCTTTGATATAAATTTAACCTTCTCTTAAGGCCGAGTTATCCGCACTGAGCTCCCAAGGTGGCGATGATGAACCAGCCAGGCCATCCCCTCCCCCAACAGCCCCCTCTCAACCTCCACCCAGCAATAATTACCGCAACCCAGAGCCGAGGGGACACAGGCCTGCTCCCATGACAGGGGGGAGCAACCTAGTGAACTTGCTGGCAGAGAGGGTGGCCATGTACGAAGAAGCAGAAGCTAATGCAAAGGCTTGTGGGGAGACGTCAAGAGCGCGAAGGTACTTCCTGCTGCCAAGTTTTGAGATTTAAGACCTACAAAAAAAAAAGAAATCTTTATTGGTAGAGAACATTTTTATGTGATAAATATAATTGTGATAAAAGTCTTATAGTGGATAGTGATGATAAGATTAAAAGGCCTTATTGCATTTCTTATTAGAGTCCCACACATACATTTAGTATTCAGTAGGCCTATTCATGTTTTTATCACTAATAGAAACTCATAAGATATTAGTAACATATATTGGATATATAATTTTTTAAAATCCTCCAACATATGCCTTCATATTATATATCTCTACTAGCAATTTTAATCTCTATTCTAGTCTGAAATGCATAGCTGGTCAGCAAATATCCCCCACCCCACCTTTCAGAAGCTGGCTTAAAATTGAAAGTTACCTTAACAACAATAAACCTAAACTGAGTCTGAGCCATAATTTTTTCCCAAAGGTTCAACCGAGGGCTAAAAACACTATACCAGATGCAGAGGACAGTCAAAGCAGGCCAGACTATCAACGAAGAAGACATCCCCCCTGTGGTTGTCGTGAAACACAGTGCCAAATCAGGGGGTTCTGGGACTCCAGCATCGACACCCTCTCCTGCGGCTACATCTCCTACAGAGGATGCTGCACCCCCTCCAGTACCTCCTCACAACAGGAATTCCTCAGCTTCTCTGGTTCATGAGGTAGCTTTTCATGACCCAAGATACCCCACTCCCCGTGTGTCTTCGAGGACAAGTCCGGTGAAACAGGTTGAACTGCTTGCATATTCATTCAAGTTATTGGTTAAAAGTATTTTATGATTATTATTCTGTCATATTTTTTTCTTTATTTTTTTCTTCTGCTTTTGATTGCTTTCATTCTTTTTACAATCTGTTTAGAAGTGTTTTTGTCTTAGACGCGAAGGAATGCAAGTTAGTCATCTTGTTTTAACTGTGGATTTGTTCTTCTGTTCTGTTTTCATCTAGTTTGTAGTCAGTTCTTTTTTGATACATGCTTCTTTATCTGGTGAGAAATATATTGAATTCTCTCTCTTTTGTGTGGGGTAAGTTTGACTTCTCATCTATATCTTTGGTGTGTTCTTGAAATGATTGGTTATGGGTGATTTGCATTTTATGTCTAATTCTTAGGTAAGTACATGTGCTTACCTCTGCAAAAGAATGAAACTACAAATAAGGTGTGGATGGAGATAAAGCTAGAAATATAGATACAAATTATTCTAACATTCTTTTTGTGTAGAAGTTAGTCATGATAGTAGAAGATACTTAAAAACTAATTTCCTTTGGGCTTTCTACCATATAACACATACTACTGGCTCTGATGGTGATTTGTTGCATTAACAAAAACATTAGTCTTTGTTCATTGCAAGTTAGTAGTACTGTCCTTCAGTACCAGTTTCACAAGATGAGTTCCTGGAGTATGTCACTCCTAATGTGTAGTTTGGTACAGGTTATCCCACCTTTTTGTGTATTCATTAGATGTACTATCCCATATAAGGAATACCAAGTATTTACTGTATATAGCCTTTTTTCTCTCTATTTCCCTGTCACTCATAAAGTCTGAGTTAGACTTACGGTTTTAACAGAGTTGGTACTTTATTTGACATCGAAATTTAATTGATTAAGAATGAGTTTTTCTTAGCTAAAAATGTCATTATATATGGTACAAAGTCAGTTTCGTGTTTCTTCTTTTCTTCTTTGTAAATTAAATTGTGAACATTATGATTACGAAGGATCATTATTAGAGCCAATAGCTAATTTCTTTTTGATCCATTGAAAAATAATTATCAGCGTGCATTACTTTTTTAAATATGGCAGAGGGGATATATCAAGAGTCCTCCCTGAGTTAGACACTAACAGAAATATATAAATATATATTAAAATTTAAATTGCAGGATTCCTCATCCAGTACCACCAACCGGCCTGCACCCCCTCCCCCACGCACAGCGCCACCTTCTGGCCCTCCCCTCCAGCGCTCCATGTCTTCCTCTGGACCCGCAAGTGCAGTGAGGACACGCCACACTGAATACAAGATGGCTGCCCTTGAAGCCAAGAAGAAAGGAGACAAAGAAACCGCCATCATGTACATGAGGATAATGAAGCAGCTGGAACCCATGTTGAGTGCAGCTGAGAGCGGGCAGGCTGTGGACCTCACAACTCTGCCTGGGCCACCAGGGACATTCGTGTTGCAGGCCTCACCACAGCCCAAGCCTCAGCCAGAGACAGGTGCAATACTAGCTAGTTGCTGTTTGGAATATTTTTTTGTGTTGTTTAAGAATTTTACTTTTACTCTGCTCTGTTATACTTAATCCTTTTACACATATATATATATATATATATATATATATATATATATATATATTATATATTATATATATATATTATATAGATATAGATATAGATAGATAGATAGATAGATATAGATATAGATATAGATATAGATATAGATACAGATACATAGAGACATAGAGACATAGACATATATATATATATATATATATATATATATATATATATATATATATATATATATATATAATATATTTATATATATATTATATGTACACACACACACACAGAGATATGTGATAATTAAATGAAAAGTTCTCCTCCACAGTATCAACACAACCAGTCACTCACGATGACCCTGCTCCTGCACCTGTTGCTGATGCCCCTGCAAGTGCCCCCGATGGCCCTGCAGCTCCAACAACAGTCCTAGAGGCATTAGAACAACGATTAGCAAAGTATACTGAACAACGAGACAAGGCAAAGGTATGGTGTGTGCGTGTGTGTGTGTGATACCAATTTCGGTTATGTAGAAGATTTGTATCAGATTGTCTTGAAACGAATCTAAATTGTAGATTATGAGTGAGTAACTAATTTTCTGTCTTCTCCTTATATCTCTTCTCATTTTCTCATTTTCATTCATGTAACCATTAAAATGGAATGAGAATGTACTTTCTCATGATATATATAAACCAGTATGAATGGTAAATGCATTTTGTTCTTAACTAATCCCTTTAAAAGTAGAGTGAACTATCATAACCATGAACAGTAACCCCATGAATAATAACCCACACTATGGTAAACAACCATATGCACGTTACACCATTTCTTTCCAGAATGAAGGAAATGCCCGCAAGGAACGCATGAACCAGCGCATCATGAAGCAGTTTCAGGATGCAATTAAGTATCACAAAGCTGGCAAACCTGTGCCATTTGATGAGCTGCCTTGTCCTCCTGGTAAGATGTTCTCCTCTTCTTCTCTCCTCTCCTCTTCTCTGCTCTCCTCACCTCCCTCCTCTGATCTTCATCTTTGTATTTGTTTACTGGGGTTTATTGCATGAAATTGGGATAATATCTTTTTAATACAATCATGGGATATGTTGTGATAAATGTTTGATAGGTTTTGAAGAAAGTTACAAATAAGATTTGTTGCGGAAAATTTGTTTATGCCAATATACATAGATATATATAGATCAGTAAGAATATTATGAGTAAACCCAATTTGTATTAATTGCTAATTGTCACTTTTTTTGCAGGCTTCCCTTCTATCCCAGTTGGTGACAGCCAGCCACCACCTGCTGCCTCCAGTACAGCTGCACCTCAGGCAGATCCCAGCACAGGTGGACCTCCAGCTGCTAAACAACCAAGACCAGATGCCGCTCAAGCTGCTGAGGAGAGTAAAAAGACAGCACCAACACCAAATGGTTTGTTGAATTGATACTTAAAGAACCTGCTCTGTGTATGGTCTTATTAAGTTTCTCTGTGGATGTATTTTTATTCATATGTCTGTATAGATGTTATAGTCAGAAAGCAAACTGATATATCCTTTTGTCTTCATCTTACAACCTAAATTTCTGTATCTGGCATGTTACTTTAGAATATATAAGAAACAAAATAGTGCATACTTGCTAACTTTCAGACCATCACTGCAAAGATTTTTACTGGCATTAACCCATTGGTGATGGATACTGAATTATCAATTCAGGGCAAATAAACCTTTTGACATCATGAATTTTATGTCCTAGTCACTGAGATGAGGTCTTGTGTATCCTGCTGAGAGCTAGAAAGTTGCTCTTGTGCATGAGCAGCAAAGACTAATGAATACCCATGTTTGCCTAACTCTCCTTAAGAATTTACCCTTTGTTTTATTGGGCTAAAGATAATATTGATTTCAGAATTAAGGAAATGCCATGATTTTTATTCCAGTCCGCAAGGCACCCCAGTCTCGTGTAGAAAAGCAATTGGCTTTCCTCATTAAGAGACAGAATCAGTTCAAGCAAGCTGCCCTGGAAGCAAAGAAACGTGGAGAGATTGAGCAAGCCAAGGAATATCTCCGGATGAGCAAGGGCTTTAACCAGCTCATTGATGCTAGTCGAGGCGGTCTGCCTATTGACATGAACACCGTAAGTGTGTCGCTTCTTGGATTAGTCAGTTATTTTTATCCCATTCTTTTTTATTTGCTTTTTTAATCATTTCTATCTTTGTATCTCCTTTCTGTTCATTCTCTTCTATCTTCTAATCTTCCTCTTCATCCTTATCATTCTTTTCCTCCCCCCTTCTTCTCCTTTCTCTTCCTTTTCTTTTCTTCTTCTTCTCTCTTGTCTCTTTTCTCCCTCCTTGCTCCTCCCTCTCCTCCTCCTCTCTCCTCCTCCTCCTCCCTCCTCCTCTCCCTCCTCCTCCTCCTCCTCCTCCTCTCCTCCTCTCTCTCTCCTCCTCTTCTTTTCCCTCATCTCTTCCACTCCTCTTCCCCTCCCTCCTCTTTTCTCCTCTTCCCTCCTCCTTTTCTCCTCTTCCCCTCTCCTCTTTTCTCCTCTTCCTTCCCTCTTTTCTCCTCTTCCTCTCCTTCCTTTTTTCTCCTCTTCCCCTCCCTCCTCTTTTCTCCTCTTCCTCCTCTTCTCTCTCTTTCTCCTTCCCCTCCTCCTCTTTTCCTCCTCTTCTTTTCCCTCTTCCTCTTCCTCTCCCTCCTCTTTTCTCCTCCCCTCTCCTTCCTCTTCATCCTTATCCTCACCCTCTTCCTTATTCTCTATCTCTTCTGCTTCCTCTCCATCCTCCTCCTTCTCCTCTTCCTCCTTTTCCTCCCATATCTTCCTTCCTCCTCCTCCTCTTCTCCTCCCCTCTTCCTCTTGTTTCTCCTCCTTCTTATGTCCTTCCTCTTCTTTTCCCACCTCTTCTCCCTCCTCTTCTTTTCCCACTCTTCTCCCTCCTCTTTCTTTCCCACTTCTTGTCCCTTCCTCTTCTTTCCCTGCTACTCTTCTTCTCATTGCTCTTCTTTTCCCACCTCTTCACCCTCCTCTTCTTTTCCCTGCTCTTCTTCTCTCCCTCCTCTTCTTTTCCCTGTTCCTCTTCCTCTCCCTTCTTTCTTTTCCCTCCTCTCTTCTCTCCCTCCTCTTCTTTTCCCTCCTCCTCCTTCTCCTTTCCTTCCTCTCATCCTCTCTTTCCTCTCATTCCTTCCTCTTCCCTTTTCCTATCTCCTCCACTTCTCTTTCCTCCTTCTTCTTTTCTTCCTTTTGTTCCTGTTGCTCCATTCCTAACTCTTCATTCTATCTCTTCTATGCTTTCCTCCCCAAATATATAATCACATATATGAAAATTTCAGATTATCAGTTCCATCAATACACATTTTAAACCCTCTTTCACAGGTGCCAGTACCACCTCAGGAACAGATTCCTACAACTAGCAATATAGACTTTGAACTGGTGGACGCAGAAGATTGCGTCGTTGCTCCAGCCAGTGTCAGCGGAGATGCAGCTGTAACTTATGCCAAGCTTGAAGAGGATCTTATAGCTCAGATAAAAGTGAGTTTNTTCTCTTCCCCCTCTTCTTTCTCCACCTCTTCTTCCTCCTCCTCCTCCTCCTCCTCTTCCTAATCGTCCTTCCCCTTTCCCCTCTTCCTCTCTTCCTCCTCCCCATCCTCCTCCTCCTCTTCCTCTTTTTCCCATCCTACTCCTCATCCTCCCCCATCCTCCTCCTCCTCCTCTCCTCCTCCTCCTCCCCCTACTCCCCATCTTCCTCCTCCTCCTCCCTCCTCCTCCTCCCCTCCTCCTCCTCCCCTCCTCCTCCTGCCCCACTACTCCCCATCTTCCTCCTCCTCCTCCTCCTCCTCCTCCCCCTCCTCCTCCTCCTCCTCCTCCTCCTCCCCCTACTCCCCATCTTCTCCTCCTCCTCCTCTTCCTCCTCCTCCTCCTCCTGATCTTGACCCTCTATTCCAATCCCTTTGATGTGGGATGACCTGGGATATCTCTCCATGTGATATGAGGACTCTGGCTGTGTTTGCGTTTGTGTGTGTTTGTTTGCACGTTTCTGTGTGCGTGTGCGTGTGTGTGTGGGGGGGGGGTGTTGTGTGTGTGTGTGTTTGTGTGTGTGTGTGTTTGTTTGCACGTTTATGTGTGTGTGTGTGTTGTGTGTGTGTGTGTGTGTGTGTGTGTGGTGTGTGTGGAGGGGGGGGGTTTGTCTGGATGTGAGCGTACGTGTTTGTGTAAGAAATAGATAGATAGACAATTATATACCTAGCTAGATAGATTGAAAGAAAGAAAGGTGCATAGATAGATATGGATATTATATATATATATATATATATATATATATATATATATATATATATATATATAGAGAGAGAGAGAGAGAGAGAGAGAGAGAGAGAGAGAGAGAGAGAGAGAGAGAACAGAGATAGAAAGAAAAATAGATGAATGATTAATTCAAGCTATGCTAAAGAGTGATGTTTTTATTCAGTATTGTTTATCCTTTTACTTTATTTTAACATTATCATCATCATTATTACCATTGCTATTATTATCATTATTGTCATTATTACTATTATTACCATTACGATTATTATTATGCTAGCTTCTCATTTCATACATGGTCAGAACATTATATTTTGGTAATGAATTGTGGCGTAAAATATCCGTAGAGTTATGAAGCGGTAGCTCCTGGCGGGGAGAGAATATTGTACAGAAATTCTTTTCCTCTTTATTTTCTTTCTTTCCTTCTTTCTTTCTTTCCTCTTCTTTGCATTTCATTCTTCCTTTATTACTTTTATGCTGTTCTTTCATACTTTTTTCTCTTTTCCTTCCTTACCGTCTTTTCTTCTTATTATTATTATCATTCTACTACTACTTCTCTTTCTGGTCTTTCTTTTAATATATTTTATCCTTTCTTCTTTATAATTCTTCTTGTCTTGTAATGAATTCGTAAAAAGACTATACATACATACATACGTACATTAAAAATAATACACACAACACACACACACACACACACACACAACACACACACACACAACACACACACACACACAACACACACACACACACACACACAACACACACACACACACACACACACACACACACACACACACCACACACACACACACACACACACACACACACACACACACCACACACACACACAACACACAGCACACACACACACACACCACAACACACACACCACACACACACACACACACACACACACACACACACAACACACACACACACACACACACACACACATACATATATATATATATATATATATATATATATATATATATATATATATATATATATATATATATATATATATATACACATATATATGCATTTCATCAAACCAAGTTCCAATATTTAGGTGCAGAGAGTCTCACTAATTTTCAATTTTATTCTCACTTTCATTCATCTCTTTTCGCACTTTAACTAATTAACCAAAATCGTTCACTCACGCATAAATACATTTGGGGACGATCGGATTTTTTTGCAGATGATGAATCGCAATTTCAACCTTTGCAGAATCAACGCTGCAATTAAACGGATCTTGATTTATTTATTTTTTTCTTTTGCTGTGACAGTTTCCTTTTCGCTTCTCTCTCTCATATCTTTATTATGTATTTTTTTTTACTTATCTTTTATTTTTCCCGAATCGTTTGATCGTTTTTGTTGTTGTTATTCATGATGTTCTTTGTTTGTTTGTTTTATCTCTTTTTTTTTCTTGTCGTTCTTTGAGAGAAAGAGAGAGAGAGAGAGAGAGAGAAGAAAGAGAGAGAGAGAGAGAGAGAGAGAGAGAGAGAGAGAGAGAGAGAGAGAGAGAGAGAGAGAGAGAGAGAGGAGAGAGAGAGAGAGAGAGAGAGAGAGAGAGAACGAGAGAGAGAGAGAGAGAGAGGAGAGAAAGAGAGAGAAGAGAGAGGAGAGAAGAGAGAGAAGCGTAAGAGAAAGCGAGAGAGAGACAGAGAGACAGACAGCAGACAGAGACAGACTAACAGACAGACATACAGACAAACAGCCAGAGAGAGAAGGAGAGAGATAAAGAGAGGAAGAGAGGCAGAGCCAACCAGCGCCCGAGTGTTAGTGAGAGGGAGAGCATTCGAGACAGACCCTGCCACTGCCTGCTAGATACACTACAGCTTCAAGGGGATCCGTGAGGGAGGTACGGGAGGGGAGACGGGAGGGAGAAGGGGAGGGAAGGAAAGGGAGAAGAGAGAGGAGGGAGAGAGAGGGGTAGGAAAGGGGGAAGAGAGAGGGAAAGGAAGGGGGGAGAGAGAGGGAGAAGAGGAGGAAAGGAAAGGGGGAGGGAAGGAAAGGGAGAGGGAGGGAGAGAGGAGAGGAAAGGAGAGGAGGCGGTGGGGGAGGAAATGTAAGGGAGAAGAGATAGGAGGAAAGAGAGGGGAGGCAAGGAAAGAGGGAGGGAGAGGAGGAAGAGGGAAGGAAGGAAATGGAGAGGGAGGAGGGGTGGGGGAGGAACGGAAGGAGGAAGAGAAGGGAAGGAGAGAGGAGAGGGAGGAAAGGGGAAAGAGAGGAAGAGAAGAGGAAAGAGGGAAAGGGAGGAAAGGAAAAGAAGAGAGGAGAAGGAGAGATGAAGGAGGTGAGGAAAAGAAAAAAGAGATAGGAGAGGAAAAAAAAAGAGAAGAGAGAAGAGGAAGAGAGGGAGGAAAAGAAACGGGGGAAGCAAGAAGGACCCTCGCCACTCTATACGTACGTCCACCCTCCTACCCCCACTCCCCTCCCCCCCTTTCTCCCAAGCTTCGCTATCTCCTCCCATGCCTTTCTACTCCCCAACACTTTCCCGAGCCCCTCCCCTACTCTCCCCCCCCCCCGGTCCTATCTCCTCCCCCAACACTTTCCCGACGCCCTCCCATTCCCCTCCCCCTCCCGCTCCTATCTCCTCCCCCAACACTTCCCGACGCCCCCTCCCTACTCTCCCCCTCCCTCTTCCTCCCCTCTTCCCTCTCCTCCCTCCCCCTCCCCTCCCTCCCCCCTCCCCTCCCCTCCCCTCTCCCCTCTTCCCCTCTTCCTCCCTCGCGCCGATATAACTTCCCCGTTCGCGTAAACCTTCCGAATCGCTCCTTTGCCGTTAGATACCGCTGGCCCTCGCTTTTGAATGGGGGAGAGAGGAGGGGGGAGAGAGAGAGGTGAGAGGGGGGGTGTGAGGGGAGGGAGAGAGAGAGGTGAGAGAGAGAGAAAGGGAGGTGGGAGGGGGGAGGGGAGAGAGAGGTGAGAGGGGGGGGGGGGAGGGGGAGTGAGAGAGAAGGAGGGGGAGGGAGGGGGGAGAGAAGAGAGAGGGAGAGAGAAAGAGGAGGGAGAGGAAAAGAGGGAGAGAAGGGCGGGAGGAGAGAGAGAGGAAGAGGGAGGGGAGAATGAGGAGGGAGAAAGAGAGAGAGAGGAGGGGAGAGAGAGAGAGAGAGAGAGGGGGGGGGTGAGAGGAGGGGAGAGAGGAGAGAGAGGAGAGAGGGAGAGATAAAGGGAGAGAGGAGGGGAGAGAGAAGAGAGAGAGGGGAGGGGGGAGGGGAGAGAGAGAGAAAAGGAGGGGGGAGGGGGGGAGAGAAGAGAGAGGAGGGGGGAGAGAGAGAGAGAGAGAGAGGTGAGAGGAGGAGGAGGGAGAGGGAGAGGGAGAGGAAGAGAAGATATGGGAAAGAGAGTGGAGAGGCGAGAGGAGAGAGTGAGGGAGAGGGAGGAGGAGAGAGAGGCGAGAAGAGAGAAAGGGAAATGGAAAAAAAAGAGTGAGAGGTGAGAGAGGCGAGAGGAGAGAGGGGGAGGGGAGGAGAGAAAGAGATATGGGAATATAGAGTGAGAGAGAGGGGGAGAGGGACAGAGAGGCGAGAAGAGAGGTGGGGAAAGACAGTAAAGTAAACAACGAAAGAAAGAGAAAAGGAGCGCATAAAAAAGAGAGAACCTAACAAGAAGAAACAAGAAAAAAAACTAAAGCGATAAAAAAAAAAACACAAAAAAAAAAACGAATAGAGACAGAGAGAAAAAACAAAAGAAAGAAGAATGAGAGCCAGAGCCGAGAGCGGGAGACAGACAGCAGCCACCCAGCAACAGTTTTTAAGTATAAAAGACACCACTGTTGCACACGACACCCTCATCTATGACCTTCTCTTACGGAATGGGAGCTGGTGGCACTACTGTTGCACACGACCCTCTCTATGACCTTCTTTCACGGAATGGGAGCTGGTGCACTACTGTTTGCACACGACACCCTCATCTATGACCTTCTTTTACGGAATGGGAGCTGGTGGCACTACTGTTGCACACGGCACCCTCATCTATGACCTTCTTTTGCGGAAAGGGAGCTGGTGGCACTACTGTTGCACACGGCACCCTCATCTATGACCTTCTTTTACGGAATGGGAGCTGGTGGGCACTACTGTTGCAACACGACACCCTCATCTATGACCTTTTAAGGAACGGGAGCTGGTGGCACTACTGTTGCACACGACACGCCCATCTATGACCTTCTTTTACGGAATGGGAGCTGGTGGCACTACTGTTGCACACGACACCCTCATATGCTATGACCTTTTAAGGAACGGGAAGCTGGTGGCACTACTGTTGCACACGACACCCTCATCTATGACCTTCTTTTAAGGAATGGGAGCTGGTGGCACTTCTGTTGCACACGACACCCTCATCTATGACCTTCTTCTACGGAAAGGGAGCTGGTGGCACTACTGTTGCACACGACACCCTCATCTATGACCTTCTTCTACGGAATGGGAGCTGGTGCACTACTGTTGCAGCACGACACCCTCATCTATGACCTTCTTTACGGAATGGGAGCTGGTGGCACTGCTGTTGCACACGACACTCTCATCTATGACCTTCTTTTACGGAATGGGAGCTGGTGGCACTACTGTTGCACACGACACCCTCATCTATGACCTTCTTTTACGGAATGGGAGCTGGTGGCACTACTGTTGCACACGACACCTCATCTATGACCTTCTTCACGGAAATGGGAGCTGGTTGGCAACTGTTGCACACGGACACCCTCATCTATGACCTTCTTCTACGAAAAGGGAGCTGGTGGCACTACTGTTGCACACGACACCCTCATCTATGACCTTCTTGGAATGGGAGCTGGTGGCACTAACTGTTGCACACGACACCTCATCTATGACCTTCTTTCACGGAATGGGAGCTGGTGGCACTACTGTTGCACACGACACCCTATCTATGACCTTCTTACGGAAAGGGAGCTGGTGGCACTACTGTTGCAACACGGCACCTCATCTATGACCTTCTTTCTACGGAGGGAGCTGGTGGCACTACTGTTGCAACACGACACCCCATCTATGACCTTCTTTTACGGAATGGGAGCTGGTGGCACTACTGTTGCACACGACACCCCTCATCTATGACCTTCTTTCACGGAATGGGAGCTGGTGGCACTACTGTTGCACACGACACCCTCATCTATGACCTTCTTTTAACGGAATGGGAGCTGGTGGCACTACTGTTGCACACGACCCCTCATCTATGACCTTCTCTTACGGAATGGGAGCTGGTGGCACTACTGTTGCACACGACACCCCTCATCTATGACCTTCTTTTTACGGAATGGGAGCTGGTGGCACTACTGTTGCACGAACACCCTCATCTATGACCTTCTTTTACGGAATGGGAGCTGGTGGCACTACTGTTGCACACGAACACCCTCATCTATGACCTTCTTTTACGGAATGGGAGCTGGTGGCACTACTGTTGCACACGACACCCTCATCTATGACCTTCTTTACGGAATGGGAGCTGGTGGCACTACTGTTGCACACGACACCCTCATCTATGACCTTCTTTACGGAATGGGAGCTGGTGGCACTACTGTTGCACACGACACCCTCATCTATGACCTTTTAAGGAATGGGAGCTGGTGGCACTACTGTTGCACACGACACCCTCATCTATGACCTTCTTTAGGAATGGGAGCTGGTGGCACTACTGTTGCACACGACACCCTCATCTATGACCTTCTTTTACTGGGAGCTGGTGCACTACTGTTGCACACCCTCATCTATGACCTTCTTTACGGAATGGGAGCTGGTGCACTACTGTTTGCACACGACACGCCTATGACCTTCTACGGAATGGGAGCTGGTGGCACTACTGTTGCACACGACACCCTCATCTATGACCTTCTTTTGCGGAAAGGGAGCTGGTGGCACTACTGTTGCACACGACACCCTCATCTATGACCTTCTTTTACGGAATGGGAGCTGGTGGCACTACTGTTGCACACGACACCTCATCTATGACCTTCTTTTAAGGAATGGGAGCTGGTGGCACTACTGTTGCACACGACACCCTCATCTATGACCTTCTTTTACGGAATGGGAGCTGGTGGCACTACTGTTGCACACGACACCCTCATCTATGACCTTCTTTTACGGAATGGGAGCTGGTGGCACTACTGTTGCACACGACACCCTCATCTATGACCTTCTTTTTACGGAATGGGAGCTGGTGGCACTACTGTTGCACACGACACCCTCATCTATGACCTTCTTTTACGGAATGGGAGCTGGTGGCACTACTGTTGCACACGACACCCTCATCTATGACCTTCTTTTACGGAATGGGAGCTGGTGGCACTACTGTTGCACACGACACCTCATCTATATGACTTCTTTACGGAATGGGAGCTGGTGGCACTACTGTTGCACACGACACCCTCATCTATGACCTTCTTTACGGAATGGGAGCTGGTGGCACTACTGTTGCACACGACACCTCATCTATGACCTTCTCTTACGGAATGGGAGCTGGTGGCACTACTGTTGCACACGACACCCTCATCTATGACCTTCTTTACGGAATGGGAGCTGGTGGCACTACTGTTGCACACGACACCCTCATCTATGACCTTCTCTTACGGAATGGGAGCTGGTGGCACTACTGTTGCACACGACACCCTCATCTATGACCTTCTCTACGGAATGGGAGCTGGTGGCACTACTGTGCACACGAGACCTGGTGGGAGCTGGTGGCACTACTGTTGCACACGACACCCTCATCTATGACCTTCTTTTGCGGAAAGGGAGCTGGTGGCACTACTGTTGCACACGACACCCTCATCTATGACCTTCTTTACGGAATGGGAGCTGGTGGCACTACTGTTGCACACGGCACCCTCATCTATGACCTTCTTTACGGAATGGGAGCTGGTGGCACTACTGTTGCACACGACACCCTCATCTATGACCTTCTTTTGCGGAATGGGAGCTGGTGGCACTACTGTTGCACACGACCCTCATCTATGACCTTCTTTACGGAATGGGAGCTGGTGGCACTACTGTTGCACACGACACCTCATCTATGACCTTCTTTTTGCGGAATGGGCTGGTGGCACTACTGTTGCACACGACACCCTCATCTATGACCTTCTTTACGGAATGGGAGCTGGTGGCACTACTGTTGCACACGACACCCTCATCTATGACCTTCTTTAACTGGTGGCACTACTGTTGCACACGATCATCTATGACTTCTTTGGGAATGGGAGCTGGTGGCACTACTGTTGCACACGACACCCTCATCTATGACCTTCTTTACGGAATGGGAGCTGGTGGCACTACTGTTGCACACGACACCCTCATCTATGACCTTCTTTTACGGAAGGGAGCTGGTGGCACTACTGTTGCACACGACACCCTCATCTATGACCTTCTTTTACGAAATGGAGCTGGTGGCACTACTGTTGCACACGAACACCCTCATCTATGACCTTCTTTTACGGAATGGGAGCTGGTGGCACTACTGTTGCACACGACACCCCTCATCTATGACCTTCTTTTACGGAATGGGAGCTGGTGGCACTACTGTTGCACACGACACCTCATCTCTGACCTTCTTTTACGGAATGGGAGCTGGTGGCACTACTGTTGCACACGACACCCTCATCTATGACCTTCTTTTACGGAATGGGAGCTGGTGGCACTACTGTTGCACACGACACCCTCATCTATGACCTTCTCTACGGAATGGGAGCTGGTGGCACTACTGTTGCACACGACACCCTCATCTATGACCTTCTTTTACGGAATGGGAGCTGGTGGCACTACTGTTGCACACGACACCCTCATCTATGACCTTCTTTTGCGGAAGGGGAGCTGGTGGCACTACTGTTGCACACGACACCTCATCTATGACCTTCTTTACGGAATGGGAGCTGGTGGCACTACTGTTGCACACGGCACCCTCATCTATGACCTTCTTTACGGAATGGGAGCTGGTGGCACTACTGTTGCACACGACACCCTCATCTATGACCTTCTTTACGGAAGGGAGCTGGGTGGCACTACTGTTGCACACGACACCCTCATCTATGACCTTCTTTCCGGAAGGGGAGCTGGTGGCACTACTGTTGCACACGACACCCTCATCTATGACCTTCTTTTACGGAAAGGGAGCTGGTGGCACTACTGTTGCACACGACACCCTCATCTATGACCTTCTTTTACGGAATGGAGCTGGTGCACTACTGTTGCACACGACACCCTCATCTATGACCTTTTGATGGGAGCTGGTGGCACTACTGTTGCACACATCATCTATGGGAAGCTGGTGGCACTACTGTTGCACACGACACCTTCTATGACCTTCTAACGGAATGGGAGCTGGTGCACTACTGTTGCCACACGACACCCTCATCTATGACCTTCTTGCGGAATGGAGCTGGTGGCACTACTGTTGCAACACGACACACCCTCATCTATGACTTTCTTTACGGAATGGGAGCTGGTGGCACTACTGTTGCACACGACACCCTCATCTATGACCTTCTTTTACGGAATGGGGAGCTGTGGCACTACTGTTGCCATCATCTATGACCTTCTTTTACGGAGCTGGTGGCACTACTTTTGCACACGACACCCTCATCTATGACCTGCGGAATGGGAGCTGGTGGCACTACTGTTGCACACGACACCCTCATCTATGACCTTCTTTTACGGAAGGGAGCTGGTGGCACTACTGTTGCACACGACACCCTCATCTATGACCTTCTTTTACGGAATGGGAGCTGGTGGCACTGCTGTTGCACACGACACCCTCATCTATGACCTTCTTTTAAGGAATGGGAGCTGGTGGCACTACTGTTGCACACGACACCCTCATCTATGACCTTCTAATGGGAGCTGGTGGCACTACTGTTGCACACGACACATCTTATGACCTTTTGGAAAGGGAGCTGGTGGCACTACTGTTGCACACGACACCCTCATCTATGACCTTCTTCGGAATGGGAGCTGGTCACTACTGTTGCACACGACACTCATCTCTACCTTCTGTTGCACACGACACCCTCGACGGCTGGTGCACTACTGTTGCACCACGACACCCATCTATGACTTCTTTTGGTCACTACTGTGCACGCTGGTGGCACTACTGTTGCACACGACACCTCATCTATGACCTTCTTCTTACGGAGGGAGCTGGTGGCACTACTGTTGCACACGACACCCTCATCTATGACTTCTTTACGAATGGGAGCTGGTGGCACTACTGTTGCACACGACACCTCATCTATGACCTTCTTTTAAGAAAAGGGAGCTGGTGGCACTACTGTTGCACACGACACGCCATCTATGACCTTCTTTTGCGGAATGGGAGCTGGTGGCACTACTGTTGCACACGACACCTCATCTATGACCTTCTTTTAAGGAAAGGGAGCTGGTGCACTACTGTTGACACGACACTCATCTATGACCTTCTCTTACGGAAAGGGAGCTGGTGCACTACTGTTGCACACGACACGCTCATCTATGACCTTTAAGGAATGGTGGCACTACACGTCATTTATGTTTTGCGGAATGCGGAGCTGGTGGCACTACTGTTGCACACGACACCCTCATCTATGACCTTCTTCCGGAATGGGACTGGTGGCACTACTGTTGCACACGACACCCTCATCTATGACCTTCTCTTACGGAATGGGAGCTGGTGGCACTACTGTTGCACACGACACCCTCATCTATGACCTTCTTTTACGGAGCTGGTGGCACTACTTTTGCACACGACACCTCATCTATGACCTTCTTTTACGGAATGGAGCTGGTGGCACTGGGATCGACGGTGTTGGCAGTCGCGCGTCGGTGGAAGTCGTAGTGGGAGCAACTCGTGAATAAATGTCAAGATATTGCAGTTGTCACGAGCATTGGAGGAAAAGGGGGAAGGGGGGGAGGGGGAGGGAGAGGGGGGAAGGGGGCGGTAAAGAAGTGTTTGGACGATAGTCTACGGCTATCCATGGCTCTCTCTCTTTTTTTTGTTTTGTTTTCTTTATCGCTCTCTCTCCTCTCTCTCTCTTCTATCTGACTCTCTCTCTCTCTCTTCTCTTTCTCTCTCTCTCTCTTTCTCTCTCTCTCTCTCCTCTCTCTCTCTCTCTCTTCTCTCTTCTCTCTCTCTCTCTCTCTCTCTCTCTCTCTCTCTCTCTCTTCTTCTCTCTCCATATATATATATATATATATATATATATTATATATATTATATATATATAATATATATTATATATATAATATATAATATATATATATATATACGTGTGTGTGTGTGTGTGTGTGTACATATATATTTATACATATATCTATCTACATCTATATATAGATAGATCGATAGACAGATAGACGGTAAATATATATTCTCTCCCTCTCTCATCTCCGCCTCGTCCCCCCCCACCCCCACCACCACCACCCGCCCACCCCGCCCCCACCCTCACACGCAAATACTCTTAGTCATTCAAGCTGAGCTCAAACGTTTTATCTCAGCTGTTGGAAATCCAAATTCCCCCCCTCCTTACCCCCTACCCCCTTACCCCTACCCCCGGGTTCCCAGGAATCCAATTTGCTATCTGTGTCGACATTAACACGTGACATGAATGCATTTACGGGATGGGGGGGGGGAGGGGGAGGAGGGGGAGGTCTGTAGATGAGGTGGGGGGGGGGGGGAGTTGCATGCTATCGGAGGGGAGAGGGGAAGGGGGGAGAGATGGGGTGGGGGGAGTTGCATGCTATCGGAGGGGAGAGGGGAATGGAGGGGAGATGGGGGGTGGGGGGAGTTGCATGCTGTCGGAGGGATGTGGG